CAAAATCGGGCTGGGGGCACCCACCGGTGCTGGGAGAGGGGCTGATTCTAAGAGAGGACACCCTCCACCCCCTCTCAAAAGGGGCTTTTAAATCCCATCTCCTCCCTCCCCCCTGCTTTGTGGGGTAGAGTTTTAAAGGAATTTTATACCCCCCAAAAAAAGAGAGGGGGGAGGAAAACAAAAAGATCTTGATTTAAAATGTTGAGGGGGGGTGTCAAAAAAAGCGAGGCTGAAGGGAAGAAAACCCCAGAGAGGTCTGGGACCCCCCCTCCAAGTGCTGCAGCCGGATTTAAAGGGGGGGTTAACGGGGTCAACCCCCCATCTTGTTTGTCCCCTCGGTGCCTGTCCTCGTCCCCAGGGAGTCACGTACCTCTGGGATGGGCTGTCACTGGGAGGGGGGGGGATGGCGCTGGCAGCCCCCGGTGTGGGGTCGGGGTCTGGGGGGCACACACACACACGTCCCCAAAGCAGGGAGAAGAGGTGCTGGGGTGCTCGAGGGTCCTGGGAAAAAAAAAAACAAACAACCACAAAACAAACAAACAAACAAACAAAAACATCAAAAAGACAAGAAATGGGCAGAAAATCTTATTTTGGCAGGTTTTGGTTGCTCAGAGGGGTCTACTGGCAGAGGAACCCCCCCCACCGGGCCCCACATGTCCCATAGGGCTTTTTTGGGATGGGGGAACACACCCCACACACCCTATAAGATCTTGGGTGAGGGTGTAGCACACCCCATAGCCCCTATAGGGCCTTTTGCGGGGGCGGGGGGGGCAACACGCCCCACATGGGCCCCACATTCCCTATAGGGCCACTGGAGGGGGGGGGGAACACCCCACAGAGTCTCCAGACACCCTATAGGATCTTGGGGGTGGGGGGAGCCACCCCCTATAGAGCCTTTATAGGGAGGGGCAACACACCCCACATTGGCCCCATAGCCCCTATAGAGCCTTGGGGGGCGGCAACACATCCCACATGGGCCCCACACACCCTATAGAGCCTTTTTTGGGAGGGGAACACACCTCACATGGGCCCCACATTCCTTATAGAGCCCTGGAGTGTGTGTGGGGGGGACACCCCACAGAGGCCCCAGACACCCTATAGGGTCTTGAGGGGAACAGTACAACATACACCACAGCCCCTATAGAGCCTGTTCCGGGGGGGCAACACACCCCACATGGGCCCCACACACCCTATAGAGCCTTTTTTTAGGGGGACTGCACACCATACATGGGCCCCATACACCCTATAGAGGCTTTTTTGGGGGGATAACACACCCCACATGGGCCCCACACCCCCTATAGGGCCTTTTTTTTGGGGGGACAACACCCCACACGGGCCCCACACCCCCTATAGGGCGTTGTGGGGGGGATAACACACCCCACAC